ACAGAATTTGTGAAGAAACAGAGAATTCAATCTGAAAAGAAACAAATGTTATCAATTTTTACCAGAACTGCTTCGAAAAAGCTGAAAAAATCGGAAGAAACACCGAAAACTAAGAAAAAAATTTTGAAAAATTCGAGTGCGAATTTTTCGCGCGCTTTTGTTCGCCGGTGGCCTATAAAAGCAAAGCTCGTCCCTAAGGGCTTTCAGTGGAAAAACAACCGTTTTTCGATGCGGTTTTCTCATTTTAGGAAATTTTTTTGAATTTTTTCTTTATTTTTATGTGAATCTACATTGAATTCTACACAAAATAAAGCAATGAAATTTTTCACCGCACTCCACCTTTAAAATATATTCGAAAATCCAATTTTTCAGAAAATACGCATTCAACGGCAACGAATCGTGCAGGAACAACGAAAGAAGCTTCTTGTAGAGAAAATATAGAATTTTAGGCCTAAATTTTTGAATTTTCAGACAATTTCGGCGCGGAAAACAATAATCGACACGATCGCAGAAATAGGAATACACCAGCGAGACGATCGGGATTCAGAGGGAGCAGACCGGCGGGACAAAGTGCGTGGATTTGGGATTTTGAGGAAATTTCTGGAAAAAGAGTATTTTTGTGGAAAAAAGCCCAATTATGTGCCTACATTGTTGCAAATTGGCTATAAATATCGATTAAAAAACTGAAAATTCGCTGAAAAATCTAAAAAATTGCCAAAATCCGATTTTTCGTAACATTATCGATTTTTAGACGTTTCGGACACAATTTTGTCTATTTTTAGGCCGAAAATTGACAGCAAACCCAATTTTCAATCGAATTTTTCAAAATTTTCAGCCTAATTTGCGCATATTGGAACTTTCTAGCCAAAAATTCTGAAAATCGGACATTTTCAGTATTTCTAGCTCTAAAATTCAGATTTTTCAATTTCCAGAGCAATTTCCGTTATCAGGAAGTCCACAAAAACCTCCTCCACAAATTCGTTCATTCGAAACTCCGCCCCCTTCTTTTCATCCGTGGGAAAATACTCATCTGCTTTGATATTATCTGCTATTTACTCGTCTGCTATATTGGCTCGTCTGCTATAGCTAGATCATCTGCTATATTGGCTCATCTGCTATAGATCATCTGCTATATTTGTCTTATCTGCTATTTTTACTCCAGTTTCAGAATCTCGTCTGCTATCAGGAAAATCATCTGCTATGGGTTTTCTAGTCTGCTATTTTTTGGGTAAATTAGTGAAACCTGAGCTTTATTAACGCTGGCGCGCAAGTAACTTGAACATGGCAAGTCAGATTCTAGTAAGTGAAGAATTCGCTGAAATTTTGGCGCTATACTAGTTGGAAGGGGTCACTTTTTTTCGCGATTTTATCACTTTTTTCGACATAAAAATGATCGCTGATTATTTCTATGATTTTTAAGTTGTTAGGACACAAAAAATTTTCCATCAAAAAAAAATTTTTTTGCCGATAATTTCCAAAAAATAGCTGTCAAAATGTAATTCTCGGATTTTCTGATGCCATCAAAAATTTTTTAGCAGTTTTTTTTTCATTTTTTCAAACATTTCAATTTATTTTTTTCGTTTTCACTTAGAATTTCTTCTGAATTTGCAGATTTCTTTCCTGGAAGCCTAAGCCTATTTCAGTAATGGCAATAGTTTTAACGGAGGAGCTGCGAATTTGTCCTCAATGTTCTAGGCTTAGGTAAAAATGGTAAAAGCTAAAAACATTATATTGCTCATTTCAAAGTTGTTGTTGTTGTTTACGTTTTAGTCGAGTTACATCTCCTAAAATAGTTGAACTAGTTCGTCAAAATGTCTGCTCAGGCTGCTCTTTTAAGCCTTAGAAGCTTCAATTTATTCTCTGGATGGCCCGAAGTGGCCTCGACGACCAAGGACGAGTTTGACGATTATGTCGCCGCAAGAGGTCTCTTAAAATAATTAAAATCCATTCAGGTGAACCCATTCGATTCAAGTTCGAATGTAACAAAAGAAAATGCAAAGCTTCACGCCTTGTCGTCAAAGTAGGCCTGTTGAAAACCACATTTTTCGAAGGTCTACACTGTGATCGCAAAAAGTTTTTCCTTTTCTCCTTCCTCTACGTCACCTCTTCCATGAAAGTCGAGGAAATGGCACGTAATGTTGAGGTAGACCCAAACACATGCGTGCAATGAGGTCAATGGATTCGTGATGTGATGGCCGAGAACTTCAACAATCCAGTCATCCAAATCGGGGGAGTCGGTACCATTGTGCAAATTGATGATACAAATATTGTCAAGAGGAAACACAATGTGGGCCGAATGGTGAGGGATGGCTGGTTAGTTGGAGGAATTAAGGACGGCACTCGTTCGGTGTTCGTCGAAATCACAGGACGTCGTGATCAGGCATCTCTCGAAGCGATCATTACTCGATATGTCATTCGTGGCACCACAATTCGTACTGATTGTTGGGGAGGTTATAACGGTTTGGCAGCTCTTGGATATGTTCACGAGACGGTGAATCATTCGCTCAACTTCGTGAATCCAACCACTGGTGTCCACACTCAACGTGTTGAGTCACTTTGGAGCCAGTTGAAGAAAGAAATCAAACCCAAATGTGGACTCAGAGGAGACAATTGGGACGATCACTGGTTTCAGGCTCTTTGGATGTTCAAGTATCACGAAGAGTCGAAATTCTATGAGCTGTGGAAGCAAATCTCGGAGAAATACCCATTGAATTAAATTTTTGTTTTCATACTTTTCAAAGTTTTGTTGTTTTAAATAAATTGTTGTTGTTGAGTCTGTTCAAAAAATATTAATACTAAAAATGGTTCAAAAAATCCGAGAATTATATTTTGAGAACTATTTTTGAAAAAAAAAATTTTTGTGTCCTAACAACTTAAAAACATCATAGAAATAATCAGCGATCATTTTTATGTCGAAAAAAGTGAAAAAATTGCAAAAAAAGTGACCCTTTCCAACTAGTATAGCGCCAACATTATTTGCCCATACTAAATTTGACTTGATTCGACTTTTTGTGCACCGTATTTTTAAAATTTCAACCGATATTTTTTCAGAGTTTAGAAATTTTAGAATACACGAATTTTCAGATTTTTGAGTTGAAAATGTGCAATTTTGACCTAAAAAACAATTTTTTTGGATAATTTTCAGCCATTTTTCACTATTTTGGTATAAAATAACCCAAAGGTGAGCAATTTTGACCGCAGAAACCCTCCATTTTTAGCCAAAAATCGATATTTTAGCCAAGTACCATTATTTTTGGCCTAAAATGACCCGAAAATTCCAAAATTTCAGTAAAAAATCTTTTCCAAATTAGGCTCCGCCCACTTTGGGAAAAATGGGCGGAGCTCACAAATTTTATTGTTCAACGCTTTGTTTTATCAAGCGCTTCAAAATAAGTTCAAACTCGACTAGGCTCCGCCCATTTTGAAAATTGACACGCGACGCACGACCGCGACGCGCCCAAAGAGTTAAAGAAGGGTCAAATGAGCAAATTTGACTCAAAAATCTCAAGTTTTCTGTCAAAAAATCGATATTTTCAGCGATTTTTTTTAATTTTCGAATTTTACCGGTTTTACAGCGTGTCTCAAACAGAAATCAAGTGACTACGGTAAAAATTATTTGCCCATACTAAATTTGAATTGATTCGACTTTTTATGCACCGTATTTTTAACATTTCAACCGATATTTTTTTAGAAAATCGATAAAAGATGTTAGTCGTCGGTGCAAAAAATACGTTCGTTATGAAGCACGTTTTCAATGATGTGGCGAGTATGGAAGTGGGAAAAGCGTACTACGGACCAGAAGAAGAGCATTTTGGAGTGTCATGGTACGAAAAAAAGGCTCCGCGTCACTTCGAAACCGGTCATTTCAAAACCGGTCATTTCGAAACCAGTCATTTCGAAACCGAAAAAAAACACGGTCACGTGAAAATGAAATTAAAAATTGGAAATTTTCAGTCTTAAAATTGAAGAAAAAAATTGAAGCGTGAAATTTTCGCAGTTTCGAAATGACTGGTTTCGAAATTACCGGTTTCGAAGTGACGCGGAGCCGAAAAAAATTAGCCCGAAATTCAAATTTTATGAATATGTTTCAGGAGAATTTGCATGATCAGGTGCCCGCTCCGGGGCTACTCCCTTTTAGAATGTTTGAAGCCACGTGAAACTAATCCATGGAAAATCGAAACAAAAATTAGTTCAAACATTTTGAAACCGAATGGAAACTGGCGTACATCATTCATTTCTCATGATTTTTCGCAAAAATCTCTTGAAAACGCAACTTTTTACGATTGCGAGCGCACCAGCAGATATGTGATCGATGGAACAATGACAATTAAATTAGAAGTTGAAATCCAGAAAATGTCCGGATTCGAAAGTCAAATTTTGAGAAAATTTGATGATGTCGCGGCAAAAGAACTCTCGGATGTCGTTTTGGTAGCTGGAAGTCAAGAGTTTCATGTCAACAAAATGTATCTCTCCCTGCATTCGCTTTATTTCTAATCTCTATTCTCTGGAAACTTCTCGGAAGCCGAAAAATCGATAATCGAATTGAAGGATATTGATCCGAAGGATTTTCAGAATTTTCTGGAGCTCATTCACGGAGATTCACTTCTAGAAGACTCTGCTACCGTCGGAATTCTGAAACTAGCCGATTATTTCGATGCGAAAAGTGCCATTGCAAGATGTGAACGTTTTCTTCTGGAAAATTCGAAAAATTCGATAAAGGACAAGTTCAATTTAGCGATTCAGTATAAGTTGGAGAAGCTGAAGGTGGGAAATCTAGCCATTTTCATCGAAAAAATATCTTTTTTCAGGAAAAATGTATGTCTAAGCTGGAAACCCATGCTGATATTCTATCGATTGTTCCAGAAGATCCAATGTTTTTTGATCACTCTCTGAAAGGAGCTGCTTTTAAAATATCCGACATGTCAAAAATAGATTTTATTTTCTGCAATTCGGCTATCAATCTTTTTGTTTGTTTTTTTTTTGGTGTAATAAAACTGTTAAAGGTGGGGGGACAGGAGATTTTTCGTAGTTTTTTTGTAGCTAGAGTATGCATTCTACCGTGACGGTGTACAACGCTTAATGTCACTCTGCGTACAGCTGTCGTCCTCGCCTTTATGTATGCAATCGGGCGTGCGCTTTCTCTTTGCCCGCGTGGCTCAGTCGGTAGCGGCGCCGCACCCTCAATCTTCACTCTCACAAGTTCAACTCCTCGAGGGGCATCTTTGAACGGAATTTCGAGAACATTATTTTTTTCATGTCCCCCCACCTTTAAAGGTGGTGTGCGGTGAATCTTTGAATGCTCCTTTAAATTTGGAAAACCTGGTCTAAAAAAGAAAAACGAAAAAAATACAGTTTCATGGGAATCAGAAAAAACTTAGCGAAATTTCTAAAATTAATGATATCAAAGTTTTAATTAAAAAAGGCAACATTTGTGGAAAAAGTTTAAAGGGGCATAAGAGTAAACTACCGTATTTTTTCATAAAATTTTCTCATTTTTCAACAATTTTTGTTGTTTTTTCCGACGATAATTCGCACAAAATTGAAAATGTAGACTCAAAAGGTACGGTAGTTCGTTGTTGCGCTTTAAGGTCTCACAACGACAGCTACCGTAACCTAAAATATCGATTTTCTCGTTTTCAACCGATTTTCGTCGTTTTCGGTTATTTTTCACCGAAAAATGTTTGAAAAATTGACTGACAACGCACGAAAATCGATTTTTAAACATCCGGAAAATACGAATAATTTTAGGTTACGGTAGTTGTCGTTGCAGGACCTTAGGTGCTAAATTAAAAAGCGGACTTTCGTATTTTTCTGTCTATATTTTTGTGATTTTTATCGAAAAATCGATAAAATCGGCTCGAAAAATACGGTAGCTGGCTTTTATGCATACCATAGGAGTATCGCTAATTTTTGAATTTACTCAGAATGTTTGGTTCCCATGAAACAGTAATTTTTCCGTGTAATTTTACTTATCAGAGTGATTACGGTGTCTGGTGACTGTCAACTTTAACCAAAGTTTTCTCGTTTCCTGTGAGAGATATTGAAAAGTGATCAACTGATAAAATGTTTGTGATAATATGGTAAACATTTTATCAGTGTACAACTTTTCGATATCTTTCACAGGAACCGAGATAAATTGACTCAAAGTTGGTCAGCCGGCTCTTGCCGGTTGAGCTACGCAATCAGCGGCCGACTACCTTCTTTTGTGCCAGAATAATACCGTTACCTGAAATTTTCAAATTTTCAACGATTTTTGCAGTTCTAGTAGATTCAATAACACTTTATTTAATGGTTTAGCAACCTTCACTTTAGGCTTCTGAGTTAGGATCTTCTTAGCCGATGGGGTCCACCAAGGAGGCGTCAGCATTGGGATCCTTCGTCAGAGAGTTCATTGTTCCAAGATCCTTGAAGCCTCTGCTACTGTATTTCTTTCTTGTTTTCAGTCTGAACCATCAGGAACACTCCAAATAATCTTCTCATCTCTCTGCATGAATTGTCTGATTTCAGTTCCAGGAATTGTCATAGGGTCCTCCACCAGCTAGACCTCTAGCTCGAAGCCTAGCTCCAGCAGCTCCAGAGCCATCGAGCCCTGCTGGCCCAGGCTCCGCCCACTTCTCGGGAGTGATTCTTCCCACCACTTTCCTCTTCTTTTATAGGAATTTTGGGGGGGGGGGGGCTGAGGCCAATGGGGTCTAGGGTCATAGGCGTTTAAAATTGAGAAAGTATTTTTCTTTTTTCATCCAGAAAAATAAAGTTTTTCATCACGTTTAAATAATTATTGAATTTTCACTTTTGAAATCTATACAACTCCTTACTATTAAAAAGAACCTCCATTGGACCCGAATTATCTCGGTTACTGTAAGAGATTTCAAAAAGTGATCAACTGATAAAATATTGGAAATTTTATGATTAAAATTTTGTCAGTTAACAATTTCTCGATATCTCTTTCAAGAACGAAGATAAATGAGCTTAAAGACAACATATCGGTCTACAGCGTAGCTCAACCGTCAAGCTTTTCGAAATTTAAACCCATATAACTCATTTCCTGTGAGAGATATCAAAAAGTGATCGACTAAAAAATTGTTAACAATATTATGATAAGCATTTTATCAGTTGATCACTTTTTGATATCTTTCACAGGAAACGAGATATATTTGATTAAAGTTAAGAGACACCGTAAGCTTTATAATAGCTTTGAGCCAATTTATCTCATTCCCTGTGAGAGATATCAAAAGGTGCTCTACTAACAAAATGTTTATCATAAAATTAGCAAGATTTTATCAGTTGACCACTTTTTAATATCTGCTACAGTAACCGAGATAAATTGAGTAGAATTTAAATGTTGGTATGTCGAAATTTCGGTTTTTAATTTTTTTTTTTTAATTTTCAATTTTTTTGAAATTCTAATTTTTCTTCAATTTCCAATTCAATCAAAACGATGAAAATTGTTGGAAAAAATTCAGAGGGCCGGCTCAGGTTACGGTAATAGCTGTTTTCCCATGCTGCGCCTTTAAATATGGATTTTTTTTTCAAAAACTGAAAAATTACTATTTCATGGGAAACCAAAATTTTTAGTAAATTTAGAATTTTCTCGATTATATATGAAAAAAGCACGCTTAAAATAATTGTTATAACCTCCCCAACAATCAGTACGATTATTATGAAAAAAGCACGCTTAAAAATACGGTGGTTCCTTTTTGAGCCTTCAAGGTCCCACAACGACAACTACCGTAACCTAAAGTTAATCTGATTTTGGGGATTTTTAAAAATCGATTTTCGCGCGTTTTCAGTTTTTTCGATAAAAATCGCAAAAAATCGACGGAACATTAAGAAAATAGGCTCAAATACACGGTAATTCGGCTCTTGCGCGTTTAAATGCGCCTTGAAGGTCCCGGACTACAATAGAGCGGCTACCGTATTTTTCGAGCCGATTTTCTCATTTTTTTCAATATAAATCACAAAAAATCATTGAAAAATCGATAAAATACGAATACAAAATACGGTAGTTCCGTTTTGCGCCTTTAAATATGCATTTAACGATTTTTTTCAAATTTCATCATCAATTATCAAAAATCAACTCTTTCTAATCACCAATTTTTCATTTTTCTGTGTCTTATTGTGTTCCTTGCCTCTCGGCCCCGCCCATTTTCATGTTTTCTGCCTCAATTTTGTGTCCACCTGCGGCGAAATAGCATTGCCAAACGAGAGAGTGACGAGAGAAAAACTGTGTCAACTGATTTCGTCGCGCACTCTGCGTCTATCGTTTTTGGGGGGAAAAAACGAGGAAAGTTTGTGTTTGTTGGTATATAAATTGTTATTTTTTGACTAGTGGAGTGTCTGTGTGTGTCGGGGGGTAATATATTCTTGGCTTTTTTTCCACCTAGCCTTGTTTTTTGTGTTTTTTTTCGCTGAAAATTTCATTAAACTTAGTAATTTTCTTTTTTTTTCTGACTGAGTATTAAACGTAAGAGTGAGCAGCCAAATTTAAATAGCTTTTTATTCCTTGTTCCTTGATTTTGGCTAGGTTCCCGAAAATGCTCCTTTAAAAGCGTTTTTGGGAGTCAGTCTACAGTGAAAGGGGTTATCAACTTTGAACCCTTACATCTCCGTTCCTGTGACAGATATCAAAAAATGGTCAACTGATAAAATGCTCATCATAATATCACTAACATTTCGTCAGTTAAAAATTGTTCGATATCTTTTGTAGTTACCGAAAAAAAGTGGCTGAAAGTTAAAGGTCTGTTGCTTTAATCAGCAAGCGCCTGCTTTAAACTTTGAGCCAATTCATCTCATTTCTTGAAGACGATATCAAAAAGTGGTCTCCTAACAAAATGTTTTTCATAAAATCACAAACATTTTGTTAGTTGACAACTTTTTTATATCTTTTACAGTAACCAAGATAATTGAGCTGCTCGAAGTGAGAGTATTGGAATGAGGTTTTTTGGGAAGAATTTGGTTTTTAAACATTTTCTGTTTCAAAATTTCTGTACATTTCTGAAATTTCTTCAATAATTCAATTTTTTTTCTGCCATCTTTACAGCCATAAGAACGAATTTTTAAAGAAAAAAATAATAAATTTTATACTTTTTCGAGTTTTTCAAATTTTTCTGTTTCAGAAAATTTCTAAACTAATTTCTTAAATTTTTGAAGTTGCTCATTCTTTTTTGATTTTTTTAAATATATTAATTTATTCAGTGAAAATTCAGACTATTCCCAATCGTCTAACAATTTTTTTTTCAATTTTTAATTTTTAAAAAAATTCTTGAAACAGAAATTTCCATTTTTAGTCTTTTAGTCACATTGATTTCTGATTTTCCGAATTTCTGTATTTTTGAATTTTCTGAATTACTGTAAAAATATTTATATTCAGAAAAAAAAATGATATTGCTAATTCTTGGTTCCCTCCTATTTCTCTACCTATTCGATTGTTTCTACTGGAAACGTCGAAATCTTCCACCAGGTAACGGATTACTGTAGATTACTGTAAATAAACCAAAATTTTCGTTGCAGGACCCCTTCCTTTGCCAGTGATTGGAAATTTGCATCTTTTGACCGATGAAATGAAGCCAGGATATAAACTATATGCGAAATTGAAGTGAGTTTTTCCTTCAAAAACGTTTTTTTGAAAAAAATTTCTGTTTCAAAAAAGTTTTATAATGTAAATCCAAAATTTAAATTTGTTACTCCTGCCGTGCCGATATTATTGATTTTTAAAATTTTACAGAGAAGAATACGGACCAGTGTTCACATTCTGGATGGCCAAACTTCCAATGGTTACTGTAACTGATTGGAAGTTGATAAAACAACATTTTATCAAAGATGGAGGAAGTTTTGTGGGCCGTCCGGATTTTCCAATTTCTATTGAAATTAGAAGTAAGTGTAGAAAACTTGCTCTATTGAACTTTTTTTTTCAAAAAATGTTTCTTCTTTAATCATCACCAGTCGGCCTCCGGTCGCCCTCCACCAAAATGTTGATTTTGAAAAAAGTGTTTCAAATACAAATTTTCGTGTTTTTGGAATTTCCGGAATCCCGAATTTTCGAATTATCAGGTTTGAATTTGCTAATTTCCGAACTTCCGAAATTTGTGAATTCAGAAAATTCGGAAGTTGAGAAATTGAAAAAGTCCAAACTCGAAAATTTTGATCCAAAATCTCAGCAATTCGAAAACTCTGATATTCTCAAAGTTAAATGTAGATAATAAGAATTTTGAAATTCCCAATATTAATTTGAGTAACCTCCGAATCTAGATTTTCTGAATTTCCGATATTTTATCATATTTTGAGGTCTTTGGACATTTTTGTTGTGGTTTCAGAGCTTCCAGCTTTGTATCCAGCTAACTTGGCTCTTCATTGAAAAAAAAAACCACTAAAAAGCTTCAAAATATAACTAAATTTTCCTTCCTACTTGATATCAAATTGGGAAATTTTGAAAACTCCTTCCCGCAATACCACTAGAACCGATGAGAGAAAATATTACACATATTCTCTTTCACTTCTGAAATTTTTTAAAAAATCAAAAAAAAAAAAGAAGTTGCCGCCTGCCGGACTCGAACCCGCGTAGCTAGGACAAAAGCGTAGTGCCTTAGCCACTACACCACGGGTCAACACAAAAGAAGTGAAAAACATGGCGTACACGTGTGTGTTGGTTTTCCTCACCAACTTCCCCTCTCCCTCCTCTCTCGCACCCTCTGCCCACCACGCTTTACTGTGGTGAAACAAAGGAACGTTTCCAAAAGATTTCAAAATCGAAATTTCGAAAATAGAAAGGGACGGGCCATAACTAATAAAAATTTCCGATTCGTCTGTCCAGGTTTCAGCTCAATCGGTTAACTTTGAATGGGTGAACCGTCACGCGACATACATCCTTACATACGGAATTTGGTGATTGTTATTAGTAATAATGATGATAACGATATCAACTAGAATAACCAAACCAAAATTTCAAATCAACAACTTGAAACCGTAAACTACAGTAATCCTTAAGAGGACTAGAAAATAGAAATTTGTGTTTCAAAAAAGTTTCGAAAAAATAAAAACTTGGAATTAATTGTTACATAGTAACCTATCAGACAAAAATTGAGAATACAGTCAAAATTTTTGACTGGAAATGTTAAATTTTGAAAATTTCGAAAAAAATGTCAGTAGTCTATCTTAGTAACTATGGAATTTCGAATAATTTAGTTTACAGATTTTCTGAAACAGAAAAATTTGAAAACTTCAAAATTTCCTTTTTTTTTTGAAAAATGTTACAGAAGGGTTACTCGAAATGGTTTCATCAGCTTGAATAGCAAAACCAAAATTTTGAATCGAAAATTTTTAACAGTAAACTACAGTAATCCTTCTTTGATTTTGAAGACTACAAAATTGAATTTGAAAATTGATAATTGTGTTTCAAAAAATTGAAGTTCTGAAAATCTTGAATTTCGAAGAATTAGCAACTCTGAAATTTTGAGAATTTTGTTTACAAATTCCCTGAAACAGGAGTTTTTGAAAACTTCGAAATTCCACTGCTTCTAAATTTTGCAGAAGTGCCATTCTCGATAGAGCGCATTTGCCTCAAACACACAGAATCGTAAAAACCAGCACCTATTGTTCATTTGGTTTTAGTTTGAAACAGGAATTTTTGAAATACCAATTTAAAAATTACAGATCTTATAAGAAAATACTTTTATCAGCTAAAATAACCAAACCGAAATTTCAAATCCAAACCCTGAAACCGTAAACTACAGTAACCTTTTTTCCAGAAGGCTCATACGGTATCATTGAATCTCATGGAGACCGTTGGGTTCAGCAGAGAAGATTTGCGTTGCACATTTTAAGAGATTTCGGATTGGGCAAGAATTTGATGGAGGAAAAGGTGAGTTGACAAAATTTTTCTAGCTACTGTAGGTTTTGAGATATGCGCCTTTAAAGAAGGGAGGCCCTTCTGCTCACGCTATTTATTCCAAAAGAGCATATCTCGAAAACTACGGTAGGTAGAAAGAAATTGTCAATTACAAAATTGAAGCTCTATTTTTGTTTAGTATACTCTGAAATTTTCAGACAAATTGAAAAATTCTAGACAACTTTTGTAGGGTTTCAAAATCGACGGTTTTCAAGGCCTATGCGGTCGAAATTTCGACTTTCTTATGCAGGGCTTCAAAATTGGCTATTTTTAGAAATTTGAAAAAAAATGTGTGTATTACTGTAAAAAAATAAAATGTTCCAGGTCCTTAACGAGGTGACAGCTATGATAGAATCAATCAATAAATGCAAGGATAATGTTGATATGCAAGTGATTTTCGATGCTTCCGTCGGATCGGTTATCAATAATCTATTGTTTGGATATCGATATGATGAGGTGGGTTTCTCTGAAAATTGTAACAAATATTGAGCTTGAATCTTTACTCTACTAGTGCCTGGAAAAAACAATTTCTCTTTAAAACAAGGATTTTTGGAACAGCAAAAAAAGATTTCGGAATTTTCACTGTTTCAAAAATTACAAATATTAAATTTTCCTCCAAATTTAATGATATCTCAAAACTATTTTCAGGCAAACATGGCCGAGTTTTTGGAGCTAAAAGAGCGAATGAACAAACATTTTAAAATGGCCGCCGAGCCGATTGGTGGGCTGATAGGAATGTATCCGTGGCTTGGCTCGTTGCCAATTTTGAGTGGATATAAAAGCGGTAAGATATGACATATACTTTGAGCTCAATTATCTCAGTCCCTTTAAAAGTTATCAGAAAGTTGTCAACTAACAAAAAGTTTATCAATTTTTCACCAACATTTCATCAGTTGACAAGTTTTTGATATCTTTTATAGTAACCGAGATAAATAAGCTCCAAGTTGGAGAGCCGACCGCATAGCTCAGCGCTGACTTCTCAACATTGAACCCTTATATCTCAGTTCCTATAAGAGATATCATAGAATTGACAACGGACAAAAGGTAATCAATTTATCATCAACATTTTAGCAGTTGCCAACTTTTTGATATATTCTACAGTAACCCAGATAATCCCGATTTTCCAGTGGTCACCGATAACTGGGGAGGATTGATGAAAATGTTCCGAAAACAAGCCGAAGAGAAATTGGCAGTGATTGATTATGATTCTGATGAATATTCGGATTATGTGGAAGCATTTTTGAAGGAGAGAAAGAAACATGAAAATGAGGAAGGGTACGGAGGATTTGAGTGAGTTTTTTTGGATTTTTTCAGTCGCTCGATGTACTTTCTAGTCCATTTACCATGGTTGCCTAACTTTCTCATTTTCTAGGCCACCAAGCTTACTGGCCTAGAAATCGTCTAATATTCACCTGATATATGTTTTAAGCCATTCATGAATGGTGGCCCAGAAAATCGAAAAAGTTAGGCCACCATAGTAAATGCCCCAGCAAACATGGATGAATGACAGTTCATTTCTAGGCCAGTAAATTTGGTGGCCCAGAAAATTCATCTGACAAAAGTTAAGCCACGAATTATCTATCATTATCATGTACAGGGTGGCTTTTAATTACCGGCGCATGTTTGAAAGAGGTTTTCTCAAAAAGTAAAAGCCCAAAACCGTTGAAACTCAACAATATGTTTATTTGGACGCACAAAATTTATAATCAAAAAGAACTTTTCGATTCAGTCATCGTTCGCCTTAGTTACGGTCTGAAGACGTCTTTTGTAGACGTTGATGGTTGCACGGTCGAAACTTTGTCGCATTTCTGAAACAGTGTCTCTTCTAGAGACTCGACACTTGAATGGGGTCTTGGGCAGATCTTCTTTTGCAACACTCTAGATGGAATAGTCGAGGTTTCAAATCCGGCAAGTAGGCCGGCCATTTGTCCCCCCATGCAGGTGTGCCTCAAACCACGGCTGGATGAGTTTGACGGTGTGGGCTGAAGCGCCGTCATGTTGGTGAATCAAATGTTCCCGTTCAGAGTGGCATTTGGGGCGTGGGATCAGAATCATCTTCAAGATTTGCTCAATATACATTTTCTTGGTCATACGGACGTTTTGTTCTATAAAATTTTAAATTTGAGCATATCGCAGCAAAAAGCGTAATGCTGGCAGGGTGGAAATCTCCAGGAATGAGGTTTTCCTTTTCAGAAGCTTCCTTGATATCCTTGGCTAACACACAATAACTTTGAGACTTGGATTCGGCTTCAATCGTAAACCACTGCTCGTCAAAGTGTTCACCTCACGGCGTGCCATCCAGAAGAAATTTAGCCACCTCCAGCTTATTGCTATTGCTTATTGCTCTTCGACAAGATGACGTATTCTAGAGCACAATACCATTTGGGATCAAGCTTCTTTTGGGCTATCTTTTAGGCAAAACACCGAAAGATACCCATATTCATGGCCAACTTTCTGAGCGTTTTATGTAGGTTACTCCTGATTTGAGCTAGAAAAACATCAACATTTTCTGGAGTTGTCACCGTAGTTTTTCATCCTTTCTCAATGCGACCAAATAAAGATCCAACCACGGTGAATCTTTTGATAACTTTGAAAAACCGCCTGTCTTAAATCCCAAAGCGTTCAAAGATCTCGTTTTGACTAACACCCTACTTATCAAGACTGGTGACAGTCGCATGGTGGACGTTAGGTCTCGCCATTTACCTGAAACTTAACCAATGAAGCTGAAACTTGGCAAGCATTTCAATTATGAATCAATAAGTCAATTGACAAAATTTGATACACCAAATGCGCGCCATCACCGAGAACCATGGCGCCGAAGTTGTGCACCGGTAATTACAAGCCACTCTGTACATTAATTTAAAAAAACAATACGTCTGAAAAACCAAAAATTTGAAATTGAAATAGTGAAAAAACGTTGGAGTCTTTTATCAAAACGAGGTAAAACTATACAATTCAATAGGAAGTTTTGAAACAGTAACTTTGGAAGTTTTCATTAAAATGCTTCACATACCCATAAATTAACAAACATTTGATTAAAGGTGGGGGGACATGAAAAAAAAATGTTCTCAAAATTCCGTTCAAAGATGCCCCTCAGGAGTTGAACTTGTGAGGGCGATGATTGAGGGTGCGGCGCAGCTACCGACTGAGCCACGCGGGCAAAGAGAAAGCGCACGCCCGATTGCATACATAAAGGCGAGGACGACAGCTGTACGCAGAGTGACATTAAGCGTTGTACACCTTGACGGTAGAATGCATACTCTAGCTACAAAAAAACTACGAAAAATCTCCTGTCCCCCCACCTTTAAAGAATTCGAAAAACACTAGCAATTATCAATAGTTAATTGATCTATAGAACAATTGAAATATGCATTTTGTAACACTAAAAATTTGAATAAGGGGGTCCAAAAATTGGTTCTAACTTTTAGATTATATTAAAAATAGTACAAAAATTAGAAACCGCGCCGCGGGGTTTCAAAAAAAAGGCGGAGCTATAACTAATGAATTGACTCCACTTCAAACAGGATAAGATTTTAAAAAATCAACTCAGTTCAAATAAATCTTTAAAAATACACTCCGCTTGAAACAGTAAATTTCAATTAAATCACACTTTTCCAAACTTCAAAGATTGAAAAGTTCGAATTTCAAAATTCATCCAACTATTTTTTTTTTTGCAGAATGGAACAATTGGATAGTGTATGCTTTGATTTATGGGTTGCTGGAATGGAAACCACTTCGAATACGCTCTACTGGTCACTTCTTTATGTCCTTCTGAATCCTGAAGTTTGTCAAAAAGTTTATGAAGAATTGGATATGAAAATTGGAAATGATCGAATTATAACAACTAGCGATCGACCGAATCTCAACTATGTTATGGCTACAATGAATGTGAGTTCTCTTACTTTTCAAAGCTACAGTATACCCAAGGGAACAACACGCTCTAACAGAATCTGATTTTGGTAACCAAAATTGAATATTTTTTGAAACAGTAAATTTTTTTTGGCTCCAAAAGTTAAAATTCTGAAAAAAAACTGTTTCCAGGAATCCCAACGTCTTGCCAATCTCCTTCCAATGAATCTCTCCCGTACCACGACTGCTGAGGTGGAAATCGGTGGCTACCGTATCCCCAAAGATACAGTAATCACTCCACAAATCAGTTCAGTGATGTATGATCCAGAGGTACCATAGGCCCCTACAGTAATCCAGAAGAACCAAATATTTTCAGATCTTCCCAGAACCCTATGAATTCCGTCCATCTCGATTTTTGGATTCTCTGGGAAATTTGAAAAAAGTCGAAGAACTCGTGCCATTTTCAATTGGAAAACGACAATGTCTGGGTGAAGGATTGGCTCGAATGGAATTATTTCTATTTTTTGCCAATTTATTCAACAAATTTGATATTAAATTGCACCCGGATAATTTGAATCCAAGTATTGAGAAAGAGTGTGGTGTTACGATGAAGGCCAAGAATTTCAGAGTTGTTGTCAAAAAGAGATATTGATTTTTTCTGTAAATAAACCTTTTTAAAATGTTTTATAATTGTTTTTTCGTCTATCTGAACTTGCCGATTTATGACTGTTTCGAGTTATTTCTAATAGTAAATGGAAATGCTTAAAGACTGAAACAGTAAGTTTAAAGTTTACCAGAATGAGCGTCAAGTGTCATTTTTGTTCCGGTAGTTCTTATTGGAAACCAAATAATCCGATATTTTGAATTCTAAGAGTCCTAACTTTCGAGCTGAATTATCTCAATTTCTACATGAGTTATCTAAAATCAGTCGGCTGATAACATGACAAGTTTTTGGTATTGCTTGTGGAAACTGAGATAATTGAGCTTAAAGTGCCGTATTGAAAGAAATATTTTTTTTCTGTTTCAAATTTTCTTCAAATTTTTGAATTTCTTTTAAATACCTGATACGTTTGTTCCAATTACTTTTAGAACTAAACTTTCAAAAAAATGTGAAAAATAACAACATTTACTTTTTTTTCCAGATTTTTCTGTTTCAGAAAAATTTAAAACAAAATTCTCCAAGTTTTGCAGTTGCTGATTTTGATTCGTGCTAAACTTTTTTCGGGAAACTTTCAAGTTTTAACTTTTCAGTCAAAATTTTAGTCTTCAATTTCAATGTTTGATAGGTAACCATCTAATTTTTCTTTCAATTTTAAATTTCTAGTCTTTTTTATCTTTGAAATTGCAAAAAAAAATCGCTGATTCAAAATTTTTGTAAAAATGAATTTAGAATTTTCCAATTTATTCACACCAGCAAATGAAATGCTGGTGAAGGATCTGTCAATTTTTGGAACTGAAATCAGATGATTCATGCAGATGTGTCTACGAGAAATAATATTATTTGGAGCATTCCTGATGATTCAGACTGAAAATAAGAAAGAAATGAAACTTCAAGAGGCTTCAAGGATCTTGGAACAATGAACTTTCTGACGTTCCTGTCACATCGGAACTAGGTGGTCCCCACCGGTTAAGAAGATACTAACTCAGAACTCTATTAAATAAAGTAATTTTGAACCAACTTATGACCCTATCCTTGTACTTTTTTCCGTTTCAAAAATATATCTAAAAAATTTTCAAAACTAGGCTATCTAATGCACAAATTAATGGTGCTTACAGCAAACAGAGAGAAAACGGATTTTTGAATTATCGATTAGAAAAAATATCAACGTAGTAACTACAATTATTAGTGTTGTTAGGGTTCAAAACAGTTTGAAACAGAACAATTTTTGTAAATACTCCACGAAAATCCTTGGCTAAATTTCTAGCTGAAACAACAAGTCATAGCTTCTGTAATGGAATTTTTTTAAAAATATGCAATTTTCTGTTTCAAACTTTCTTCACATTATTTAGGTTTCATCAGTAACTAATTGTTGTTTTAGCACTACATTTTTCAAAAATTTTAACATTTCCAGTCAAAAAATCAAACCTTTTTCTCAGAATTTTTCTCAGAATTTTCATCTTTTCAACACTTTTTAAAACACACGAATTTTAATTTTCTAGTCTTATCATTAAGAAAAATATTTAGACATTAAAGGAGGCGAGACAGCAAAAATTTCGGGGGACAGTTCGGGGGACGAAATCGCGCCGCGCTTATGTAGACCATCGGTCGTCAGGCGCCTTCGCGCCCCCGTAGCTCAGCCGGTAGCGGCGCTGTACCCCTGAGCTGCCTGTCATGAGTTCAACCCCTCATGGGGGTTCTCTATGCAAAATATCAGGATAACTTCTTTTTTTTTGGTGTCGGGCCTCCTTCAATTTAATTTTTCAAAATTCGCGATTATGAATATTAAAAAAAACAATTAAATTTTTAAAATTAAACATTTGGCTAAATTGGATTTTTGTGATAATTTTTTTAATGAAAAACTCATTCGTTCATCAAAAAAAAAACAGTTTCAAAATCGATTTCTATATTATATAAAACTGAAAAAATGTCCTAATTTTTCAGAAAATCATAGACTACAGATTGATTATTTTGAAAATATCTGAAAATATCTTCCAACTACTGTCTTTGACAATTAGAAAAAATTGATTTTATTCTCCAAAAATTACGAAATTTCCCATTATTTGCACCTAATTTTCAGCAAATTTCAAACTTTTCTACTCCAATTTCTTCCGAATTTCCTCTTCTTATCTATTTCAAAAACGCGGGCGTTCACATCAATTTCCCCCTTTTCTTTTTTTCTGAAAATAAGAATTCCCCATGGAAAATGAACACCCCCTCTCTAAAAATGGTGCATTTTTAGGGGATAGAGGAGAGAATAAACGAGAAAATTCCCATCCCATTTTCACCTCTTTTTCTTTTTTTTTGGGAAAAAGAGAAGAAGAAAAGTACCCAAAAAATATATGGATATGTGATCAGAAGTCATGATGACGTCTTCTGGATTTTGCATATTTTGAAAATAATTCGAAAAATCTTCTTTAAAACTTTGGATTTATTTATTTTTTTTCTAATTCTCCATTTTCTGAAAATTTGAAATTTCAGAAAAAAAGACAACTCATTTTTCAGTTATATGAAGTCTAGATGAATCAAGTTTCCAACTGAAAATATTAGAAATTTCACTACTTTGAAAAACTTTAAAACAGTTAAATTTTGATTTTCCAAGAATATATATATTTTTCTATATCATAAAACTTAGAAAAAATTTAGGAACAAAAAACTTCTTATTGGTATTAATTAACATTAACTTTGAACTCATATATCTCATTTCCTGTGAAAGATATCAAAAAGCGGTTAACTGATAAAATGTTTATCATGTTATCAGAAATAATTTATTAGTTGACCACTTTTTGATATCTTTTACAGTAACCGAGATAATTTGGGTCGAAGTTAAATAGTCGGCAGCCGACCGCGCAGCTAAACAGCGCCGGTTTTTAAACTTTAAGCTTATATATCTCGACTACTGTAGAAGATATCAAAAAGTGGTCAACTGATAAAATGTTTATGATAATATCAGTAACATTGTATCAGTTGACACATTTTTCATATCTCTTATAGGAACCAAAATAATTGAGCTCAACGCGTGTGTCTTTACTGACTTTTATAACCACTCAATCATTCTATCAGTTGACCGCCTTTCGATATCTTTCACAGTAACCGAGATAAATAGATAAATTGGCTCAAAGTTGAGGTATTCTTTTTTTTCTATTATAATTTTCACTGTTTCCCTTCTAATTCAAATTATTTTAGAATTTTCTTGTTAATCAGTACGATTGTTGCATTACATTCCAAACATTTTCCATAAAATCAGGTGTTTTTTTCTCGATAATTTTGCGAATTAAAAAAAGTAAATAAGTTGAAAAAACCACCCATAATTTAATAAAAAATCATTGCTAAATTAGAGTTTTTACATTCAAATTTCAAAGTCTCAAAATTTTGAAACAGTAAAAAGTTTATTCTGAAAATAGATTCTCCAATTCCACCTCCATTTCCTTCCCCCATTTCTTTCAATTTTTGCTCATCTCATTTCCTCTTTTTTTTGCTCATAGAGTACTTCTCTTTTTCTCAAAAGCAATTTCAATTTGAAATAAATCTCATTCCTTTTTTCCCTTTTTTGTCTTCAAAATCTGTCTTCTTCAGACATTTGGGAGCTAAGAAAATGAGCAATTCCTTTGAAACATTTTGTTTTGAAAAATTTCTGTTTCAAATTATTTTTGGCTTTCTTTCGAACTCTGTGTATATTAATAAGCTGTATCGTTGCAGTCCTTTTAGGATTACTGTAGATTTTAGAGGCTTTAAGCAGTACTCACTTGGGTTCGAGCTAATGGGTCAGAAATCGCGCCCCAGTAAACGTGAGATTTTAGAAAATATTCGCTGCAGAATTATGTGGCTGAGGATCAAACTTTTGAACGTTGGACGAAAAAATAACGCGTTGCAACTCGTTGATTAAAACTAATTAGGTCAAATCCACGTCAACTTTGAAATTATTCAATTTCTTCTAGCCTAAAAGTTATTTGGGGCGCGTTTTTTAATCCGTTGGCTTGAACCCAAATGAGTACTGACTGAATCTTTATAACTGAAACTGTATATTCAATTCTCCTGAAACAGTAATTTTAACTTTGTTGAATGCATTTTTAAATAATCCAATTATTATGAAAGAAGTGATTTTTAGGCACTTTTAGTTTCTCTGAAAATCAAATTTGCAACCGAATTGCTAATTCGTTTTTCTATCTATCAAAAATGTCTGTGTGTCCGGATGTCCAAATATAAATAGTGAAATGTGTTTTTTCAGTACGCAAAATTATATTAATTTTGAACAGAATTCTAAAACTACTGTTTCATAATACTAATGGCTTTCTTCCAAAGTTTGAGTAATTTCGACCATAGTGGATGGCGATAAATTACTGTAGATCTTTTGAAAACTTCTCAGATACCCACTGACTCTTGGTGATCAAAACTGTATATTCAATTCTCATGAAACAGTAATTCAATTATTTATGTATTTTTTGAAAATTGATATTTCAAAAATCTCTGAAAAACACGTTTTATGATTATTCGCCAATACCTTGTCCATTTCCTGGTTTTCCTGATTCAAAAAGTATTCAAATTCTTCCCATCTCCTAATTTTCGAAAAGTTTAAAAAATTTACTGTTTCAAAGTTCAGCTTTCTTGAAAACCGAAATTATAACAGAATTGATTAATCTATGTTTTCATCGATCAAAAAGTTGTGTCTGCGTGCAGCTAGTAAAACTTAAAAAGTTATACAACAATTAAAATGTCTGTGTGTCCGGATGTCCAATCAATAAGGATATTTTTGCTAATAAAGCTGAATGAATTTTGAGCAAATCTTTGAAAAAAAATTACTGTTTCAAAATCTCTCTTCAGGTTGTGTTATGAGATTTCAATCAATTCTGGAATAAGTAACATTTCAAAGAATATTTTTTTTGAAAAAACTTTATTTGCAGCATCCTGGAATTGTTTAAAGTCACACAACACAACTGACCATGGGTGTGGAAACAGTAATTTTAATATTAAAATTTAGTTCGAAATTAATTTCA